GGCTCTGGGCCTGTAGGGGGAGGCACTGGCCTGCAGGGGGAGGCTCTGGGCCTGTAGGGGGAGGCACTGGCCTGCAGGGGGAGGCTCTGGGCCTGCAGGGGGAGGAGTTGGGCCTGCAGGGGGAGGCGCTGGGCTGCAGGGGGAGGCCCCTTGGCCTGAGCCCTCTTGCCTCCCAGGGCTGCTGCAGTGTTATGCCTGCCAGTCCCTGTACAGTGGGGAGCACTGCAAGCAAGTTCAGAACTGCATCCACGGCCACAGCTTCTGCAAAGCCATCATGTCCCACGGGAACACGGGTGAGCCGGCCCCGCAGTGGCCAGGGCAGGAGGTGCCCCATCTCCCATGCAGAAAGGCGTGCACCCCCGTGAGGGGCCTCCTCCCTGCCCCAGCCTGTCCAGCGTGACAAAGCCTTTCTCCCCCACCCTTCCTCCCTCCCAGAGTCGGGTCCTCTGACCACCTACTCCGCATGGTGTGCAGACACGTGTCAGCCCATCACCAAGACACTGGAGGGGACCCTGATGACCCTGACCTGTTGCCAGTCCACCCTCTGCAACATCCCACCCTGGCAGGACCCCCCAGGCAGCGGAGCCGGTAGCCCCCAGGGCAGCCCCACGATGGTGGCCGCCACTCTCCTGCTCAGCCTCCTTCCCGGCCTGCAGGCCATGGGGTCCTGAATGGGTGGTCCCACCCCCACCCCACTCACACCCTGGATGGCCAGCACTCTGTCCAGTGCCTTACGCACCTGGCTCCCCACCCCAGCTCTGATAAATAAACTTGGAGCACCTTTAGTGATCCGGCCAACACTGCCCCGTCTGCATTTCCTATTTCCTGGCTGTCTGGCATCTTTGGCCTCCTCCTCCCCACCGCCTGTGCCAGCACATTGACCCCAGGTCCAGGCCGCGACTGCTCAGAGGGCGGGTCCACACAGCTGGGTAGAGAAAACACGCATCCTATGCCAGGCGGAGTCAGCCACATTCTCTCACCTCCCCTCCCCACCCCCAGACTGTTGCCTGGGTTCCTGAGAAGAGGATTGGGCAGTGGGAGGGGTTGGGGAAGGGAACCCAGGGGTGCCCAGGACCCACTCTGGTCAGGCCGGCACCACTGGGTGCTGGGGGCTCTCCGCCTTCCTGGCTGGTGACAAGACAGAGCCCTGGGATAGGAGGGAGGAGGCCTGGGTGCGGGCCTCAGGTTCCCCATCAGAGCAGCATGGAACAAGGCTCAGAGGACCCCTCGATCCCCACCAGCCCAGCAGCCCCTGGGTAGGGAAGCCTAGAGTCCTACGCTGCCTGTCAAGCAGCTGTAGCAGGTGGGGTAGCCTCCCACTCTCTGCTTCCTTCTTTCCTTAGTAAAGAAAACCTCAAGACCTAGCTGGGGAGCAAATCCCCGGGGTAGAGGAGACAGGTCTGTCTTCTTCTCCTTCCTCCTTCCTGCTGGGTGCAGTGATGTCTGTGGCTTAGCAGCCACTTCGCACCATGAGGCAGCACACTGGGATGGCAGGGCAGCAAGGAGGAAGGGCAGAGATCATGGTGACCAGGAGCCATTATACCAGCCCCACACTGCCTGCCTCAGTACCCCTTTCCTTGGGAGGGAAATAAATGGCTGCGGAGTTGAAGTGAGTCATTTCTCTGTCACTTCTTCTTCACACACTGTCACACACACACGCTCCTGCAGGTACATACGCTCTCATGTTACTCCCGCCGGCGCACGCACTTGTGGTCACACACACTCTCCCACATAGATAAAAGCCGAGCTCGGGGCTCACCCTGTCTGGGTTAAAATGTTAGTTAAGCCCTTGCCCCAGCTCCACGACCCACATGAACGCCATGCCCCACCAGCTCCGTGACCCAGACGAACCTCTTCACCTCCCCTGCAACACCCACCCCAAGTGGGTTTCCTTGTCTGCCACGTGGCAGGGTAGGGGGGCCCTCCTGGGAGGACCAGCCTCAGTGAAGACCGACAAGCGCTACAGGGGAAGAGCACCAGGCCTGAGCCAGAGGTTGGGAGAGGCCGGATGAGGACCAAGACCCAGCTGGACCACCAGGCCAAGGCCAGTCTGATGTACCAGGGACGGTCAGGACGTTCTAGGCCAGTCCCAAGAAGGAACTGCTGGAAATCAGGAGGTGGTACCTCAGGGCTGCTCCCTCTCATCCAGCCTGGGCAGCACCTCTGCACCCACCTGTACAGCGGGCCAGGGAGTGTGTCCAGCTGGATCCCTGCCTCCATGTCTCATGACTGCCATGACACGTGACCACACAGTGGCTCACAACAGCTCAAACGGTCCTGAAGCTCAGAAGTCTGAAATGAAGGGCTTTGTTCCTTCCGGAGCCTGTGATGGTGCATTTTCTGTGTCAGCCTGACTGGGCTGAGAGAGGCCCAGATGATTTCTGGGTGTGTCTGGGAGGGGGTTTCCAAAGACATTAGCATTCGGGTACAAAGATGACAAAGATGGCCCCTGCCAACGTGGGGGGCTGCACCCCATCCACTGAGGGCCCAAATGGAACAACAAGGCAGAAAGGGCAAATTCACCCTCTGGAGCTGGACCTCCATCCTCTCCTGCCCTGAGACGCTGGAGCTCCTCGTTCTGAGGCCTTCAGACTCCAGTGAATCCCACCCCCGGCCTTGCTGGGGCTCCAGCTGGCGGACGGCAGGTACAGGACCTCTCGGCCTCCACAGCCACGTGAGCCAATCCCTGTGCTTACACTCACAGAGCCCGCTGTACATCTGCCTGGCTCCGCGTCTCTGGAACTCTGGCCCCTCACCACCATCTGCCTCAAATCTCCCGCCACCTCCCTCTTATTAAGGCCTTTGTGGTGACATGGGGCCACCACCCAATCGAGGACAATCTCTCATCCCAAGACCTTCAACCCCATTACATCACCCCTTTGCCACATGAGGCCACACATCTCCAGGCTCCAGGGATTAGGACCTGGATGTTAGCCAGTCATTACTGAGCATCGCCCACCACCCAACGTCAGAGACCCCAGCCGTAGCACGTCTGGCCGTGTGCCGGGTCTTGGACCCAAGGAGGGTAAGCTCACTGGTCACAGGGGCCACAGCCCAGAAGTCAGACATGGCTCTCAGCCCCCACGTGGCCTCTAGCAATGCTCCTGCCATCCAGACACAATTCAGATGCCCTTGCCTTTGCCACTACTAGATTCAGCTTCCTAGAGAGCTGGGATTTTTAAGATGGAATCTATGATGGGTGGGTGGGGGAGGGGAGAAAGACAACCCGTCCAGTGAATGGACAGGCTCCCCCACGCTGCCTCCATGGGCATGGCCTCCCTGTGCCTGGAAGCTATGGTCACCCTCAGCCTGCGGTGGCAGAGTTGCCTGGGCTGAAGTGCCTCGAGGCAGGCAGTCCCCCAAGTCACACACACCCTTCCTTCTACCCAATGCGCCGATGCCCACACACCACTGTGCCCGGCGCCCTGTGGTTCCCTGGCTGTCGCAGAGCTGGACATGGTGCCTGATTCCGACTCATGGGACAAATTCTAACCACACCTCCCTCCCCCCGAGCTCTGACCAGCTGGGGACACAGGCACACAGACACATGGGGATCTAAGACCTCCCAAGGAAGACGCAACTGAGGATGCAGGGCCCCAGGCTGGGGGGTGAGGGTGGGGAATGATGCAGGCAGATCCCAGGAGCTGCAGGAGAGACAGAGGCAGAGCCAGAGGGTGACAGGCCTCCCCAGAAGCCACTCCCCCTGGAAAGGTCGCTCAACCTCCCTTGGAAGCAGGTGTCTGGGGAATGGGGCTCCTCCCCGGTATGGACCGGACTAGTTGTCTCTTAACCCCCTGAACTCAATGTGCTGACCTAAGCACACAGAGGGGCAGGTCAAAGCCTCGCCCTCCTGAGCCCCCCATCCCTGCCTCTGCGCTCTGCCATCTCCTCCCCCAGGGCTCTGAGATCCACTGCCAGCCCGGCCGCACCCTGGCAAAGCTCACTCCCTCCCCCTCTCCCTCTCCCTACCCCCCCAGAGGGTGTGCAGCCCACTCCCATGAAGCAAAGACCATCACGCAGCCACACGCAGCACCCCAGACTTTGCAGGACCTCAGGCTTGCTGAGTCCTCTATTAAGCCAAGGGGCTCAGGAGCCTGGTGGAAAGAGCCACGTGCCCCTCCTCAAATCTCGCTCCTCCAAAGCTTCTGTCTTTCGGACCTTGGCTGGAGGGCCCTGCTCTGGGGAGCAATAAATCAACCCCTACCTAGAGGGGGCTGCGTGCCCAGCTCCACATTCCAGCTGAGAAGCAAGATGAAGGAAGAAGCAAACACCTGCTGGTGTCACCCCTCCCGTGCCCGCCCTCCCCATGGTGTCACCCCACCCATGCCCACATTCCCCACAGCATCACCCTGCCCCATGCCCGCCCTCCCCACGGTGTCACCCTGCCAAGCCCACACTCCCCAAGGCTCCAATGTGGGGTGCTGCAGACCCCTCCTGGATGTCCGGACTCCAGCAAGGGCCTCCTCAAGGCCAAGCTCTGTGTTCTCCCAAGAAGAGACCTTTGCTCACTTTGTCTGGATCAGTCTGCAGTGTATTCAGTGGCAAGGAACAGAAAATCCATCTAACTGTACGTAGAAAAAAGACTTGGCTCTGGGCGCATCACCACGGCCTGGGGAGCATGGGCACAGCAACCAAAGCAGGAAGGGGCTCCCCAGCCTGTGGCCCTTATGAGCGCATCTGGTAGCCAGGTCCTGCTGGCCTCCTCGGTCCTCTGTCCATCTGTCCATCAGGGTGCTCAGTGACCGGTCAGGGCCACTTGTGTTGCCTGTGTCCCCATGAGGTCTGCAGCGGCAGCAGCCAGCCAGCCCAGGAGTGCCGCGTTCTGCACACAGACCTCTGTAAATGGAGACAGGCCTCTCCTTGCCCACTTCAAACCCTGAGCAAACCCCGCACCACCCCGATTCCCCAGGGTGTCCCTGTCCCGCAGAGTTGGTGGTTTCTATGGTGATTCGGCTTGAGCCTGCCTCAGGAGGCTGTGCTGCCCGGTGTGTGGGCAGATCCCCCCTGCACGCCCCACGGAGGGCCCCTCCCGACGTGAGGGTCTGGGGGCCACACAGGGGTCTTTCCCATCGCAGCCTGCTGGCAGGTTCGCAGCCCAGGCCCACCCAAATGAGAACATTAATCAAAGGAAACCTCACTAAAACACAAGTCAGGAGCTTGGGCAGCGGGAGCTCTCACCCCCTCCTACTCTCATCATGCACAAATGCGATGGGAAGAGAGGAGCCTCCCCCGCCCTAGTGCTTTCCCTACTCCCTCACTCCCTGCTGGGCTGGAAGAGGGGAGCTTTCCTCCAGCCCTGGCAACAGCCCAGCCAATGAGAAGCCAGTACACTTCCAGCTCCCAGTTTAGCCCAATGGGCTTTCAGTTGACAACAGCCCCTCCCAGCTCCCCCCTCCTCTGGGAAAGTGCTTTGCTGTCCTTCGCTCTGCAAACCTGCGGTGTTTTGCTTGCCCCAGCTTGCAATTCTCCGCCCTTCCTCAGTAAACCCATTTTTGCGGGTAAAATGACTAGAAGTTTTATTTTCAAGGCTAACACATGCAGAGGCCCCACTTCCGCACTGGAATCAGGATCATGGCACCCATCCCCCCCACCCCCGCCCTTGGGAGGTTATGCGTGCTGGAGCCTGACACGGCTGTCCATCATCAAAGCAGCAAAAATGTTCAGCCTCCGC